ACGTTCCTGCTTCCTTCTCTCCACTCAATCTGTCACCCTGTCTAGTGAGCACAGCCTGGCTTCAGTTTGTTGGAGCAGGCTACATCTGGAAGGACCAGGTAGCTCTCTTCCCTGTCTCAGGATCCCATAGTGTCCCAGAGAAGCCTCAAGCTGGTGGGGCCAACCAGCCCTCAAGGCATAGACTGAGACCTGTGGCCACCGAGGCTAGTCAAAGAGTCCCCGCCAACTCCTCTGGAATGTTCCACTTCAAAGCAACTTTCCAGTCAGTTTGTGGGGGGCCTCTCCCCTTCCTGTTTGCTTCCTGTATCCCAAGTCCCTCTAAGCCAGGCCTGGGTCTTAGGTATTTCTGAGTCCCCAGAAACTTCTTTGTATGCAGTAGGGGCTCAGTAAATGTACCTGAGAGACAAGCTGGCTGCAAGTCAGCTAGCTGGACAGCTCCATGGGAGTAAGAATACAAGGGTCCAGTTGTGAATTCCAGCACCCAGCACCTGTCCTTTCCTATGTGTTGAGGGTTAAGTTGAGAACATAGACCCCACCCAGCCCCTCGCATCTCTCCCAGCCCCCAGGCCTAAGAGTTGTATTGGTCTGGACTCCAAATCCCAACATGCCACTCCCACATGGTATTTAAGTGAACTCCAAAAGAGGAACACATGGTCTCTTTTCTTTCCCACCAGTGGTCGTGTTCTTGGGGCCACCTGAGAGCGCAGGAATCCCATTAAACCTGGATATTTCTTAATTTGGCTTGTGGTGATTTGGCCTGATTGGGATTTTGTGTCGCCAGAGAGCTCGTGTTAGGAAAAATTCCTAACATCTGGAGGTCCCACCAGGTAGGGTGGCCTTTCTGCGTCCACATGTCGAAAGCCCCCTAGTCTACAATCTGAGCTCTCCACACCACGCTAAAACTGGCTCCTGGGTTACAGCGGCTGCATCTTGGTGAGTCCCTTTTTCTTGTCTATGCGATAGGGTTTTTGGGGGACCTGTTTGTACTTATTTTTGTCAATTATCAGACTCTTGTTGAAGCCGCAAGCTCACGCCAAGAGTTTGATCTCAGCAGTGGCCAGACCGGCAAGACTGGGCTTGGCTGAGGTGGGATTTGTTTGCTTTGGGACACCAAACATTCAATTTCCACAACCCCGTTGGCCCTAAGAGCTATTTTAGCGGACACACTGTAATAGACTTAGGCCACTTGGTTGGGCATAGACTTTAAAATGGGCGCTTGCAGATCAAAGCTGTCTCCCCTGGGATGCCTCTTACAAAATCTTTATAAATTGAGACTGTTCGACACAATCTGTCCCAAACGGCTAATTTCCCTATGCACTGAGATTTGGCCTCAACCATCCTTCGGGACCTAGAAAATTTTTGCCGCTGTAAAGACAGATGGACAGAGCTTACATGTGTCCATAGTTTTATGGGCTCTGCATTCCCACCCTTCCCTTAGTAGCCAGTGTCTCCCAGCATCACACAGCCAGAGGCACTGGTCCTTCCCCAGCTCCCTCAAACCCACACTATCCAACCCCCTCTTGTGGAGCAACAATCTCCACATTCCCCTCCTTCTCTGTCTATCCTCTCCCTTCCCAACCCAGAGATTCAAGATCAACTTCCACCTTCCCCACCTTCCCCGCCCCCACCTACCTCATCTCCCCATCCTTAGACCCTCTCTGCACACTGGGCTAGCCCCTCCCAATCCTCCCCAGTCTCCTCCCATATCAGATCCCACCATAGTTCTGCCCTTCTCTGTTCTCTCTGGGAAGTGTCGGGAGCCGATGGCATTATAAAAGTTCATTTTCCCTTTTCTGTTCCAGATCTCTCTCAGATAAAAAGCGGCTAGGTTCCCTTTCTACTAATCCTTCTGCTTAAAGTTAAGAAAGGTTGAGGGGGGTTCCCAAACCCCTATACAGAAATTGGTAAAAAATAGCTTTTACATGGCTAAAACAGGCCCAGGTCTTAGCAGCCTTAAGGTCACAGGAAAGGGGACAAGGGAAGCCAACCACAAGGCTCTACCCTAGTGGAGCCCAGCCTAAGTCAACCTCACAGGCAAGCTGGTGTAGCCTAAATGGTCATGCGGCACGATATTGCACTATGCCTCCTTCGAGGTTATGCCCTATCTGCCAGCAACCTGGACACTGGAAATCACATTGCCCCCATGTGGGCTTGTCCTCTATGCCACGCCATGGAGGTCCAGCCTCACTAACATCAGCAAGTGAAACTGTGTCAGCCTTTGAACTTCTCAGCCTTGTAGAGGGTTGATGCTGCCCAGATTTGGTACATCCCATACCCTATCCGAGCCTAGGGTAAAGGTGCAAGTAGTGGGTAAGTCCATTACTTTTATTCTCACTCGGGCCTTATATTCCCCTCACCAATTTCAGTTATGGGGGTAGATGGGACTCGTTCTTCCCCACTTAAAACTTTGCCACTGCCCTGTATTCTTGCAGGACAATTTTTCTCTAATTCTTTCTTAGTGATACCTGCTTGCCCAGTACCTCTACTGGGTCGAGATATCCTTAGCCGCTTCCCCAAAGCTTTGTTCTGCTTCTTAGAGCCCCCTTTTGACCCCATCCATCTTCAAAATTGTATTTTACAGGTTCACTCCTCCTGCCAGACGTGTGCCCAGGCCAGCCCACAAGGGGCTGTCAACATAGGTCAGTCTCTACATCGGCTTCGTGGACACCAACCGGGCGAAGATTGGCAGGTTAATTTCACTCATATGCCAACTCATAAAAAACTCCGTTATCTCTTAACTCTTGTGGACATTTTTACAGGATGGATAGAAGTGTTTCCAGTCTCCAGGGAAACAGCAGATGTGGTAGCTCAGGTACTCCTGGACCATATCATTTCTCAGTTTGGTGTCCCATGAACCATCCAGATGGACAATGGGCCAGCCTTCACTTCCAGGGTCATGGAGCTCATGTCAGAAGCTCTCAACATTTCCTGGAAATTCCACACCCGCTACCATCCACAACCCTCAGGAAAAGTGGAGAGGACCAAAGGACTCATCAAACAACAGCTGACCAAGCTCTCCATTGAACTCAGGCTATCTTGGCTCTCCTTTCTCCTCATTGTCCTCACTCATCTCAGGGCCACCCCATGTTCCCCTGTGGGCCTGAGCCCTTTTGAGTTGCTTTATGACAGGCCCTTTCTCCTTAACCATCACCTCCCAGTTCAAACTCCTCCACTGGCGGGGTACCTACCCTACCTCCCTGTTTTAAGATCACTTCTCTGTTCACACGCTGACAGAATTGTTTCCCTGCCCCCACACCAGTGGACCCTACTGCCCCTAAACCTGCCCTGCTCTCCCCAGGGACAGAGTACTTCTCAAACAGTTAACTCCTAGGTCTCTCGAACCTCGATGGACAGGACCTCACACGGTAATCTTCACCACCCCCTCGGCTGCCAAGCTCCTGGGACACCCATGCTGGTACCATCTCTCCAGGCTCAAGCGGGCACCTACTCAGGACACTTGGTCTGTCCAGCAGACAGGACCTTCCACTCTCCGGTTTTCCAGGATGCCACAATGAAGGGCCTACCAGCTCCTCATCCTGTCACATTCATCTTCAGTAATAACAATATTTTCTTCCTAGACATCTGCCTTGTTGCCTCCCCCAAGGAACAGATGCCTGACGTCTCTGGGATGACAGTACATGGGATACATTTCCAGCCATATCTCTCGCTGAGCGTGGACCCACCAACACCTAACTCTCCCCTTCCCCACATCACCCTATACTCACAGGAAGTAGCCAGACTTGAGTCAATGCCCCTTTTTCCTAGAGAGCCCAAATTGTTGGTCACAATTATCACTTCAATTTCCTGTCATCCAAATTTCATTTAATCCTGTCATTCAATTTCCTATATCCAAGGAGTCTGGAATGTTAAGTTGGGAGTGTACACCCCTGCCCCTTGCATCTATCCCAGCCCCCAGGCCTGAGAGTTGTATTGGTCTGAACTCCAAATCCCAGCATGCCAGGACCTGACCCCTTCCTGGGGGATCAGGACCACTCCCACAGGGTATTTAAGTGAACTCCCAAAAGAGGAACACATGATCTCTTTCCAGTTTTCCCCTCAGGGCCACCCGAGAGTGCAGAATCCCTTTAAAACTGGATATTTTTAATTTGGCTTGTTGTGATTTGGCTTGATTGGGATCTTTGTGTTGGCAGAGAGCTTGCATTAGGAAAAATTCCTAACACTTAGTAGGGTGGCACTGGAGCAGAAGTGGGGGCCATTTGGTATCAGCACCTCCTTTGATTCTTTGGACATTCAGAGGTTTTGAAACATACTGGTTCTTCCCAGATTTACTTGGAGCATCTTCTGTCTGGCATGGACACGACATCTGGGATGCAGGCCAACTGTGGGCAGCTGCCTGACTCCTCCCATGGCCTGAGTGAGCTCAGGTATTTCCAGTAGTCAGAGGGAGGTAGGACTCTGAAGCAGAGAAGGTTCCAGAGAACAGAATGCGGGGGTAGCCCCTGCGATGTCAGCACAGACTCCTTACTGGCTTCTTTGGACAGTAAACCTTTTGTCTGGTCCTAGGAGTTAGCAAGCTGAGACTGGAGAGACATATTGTGCCAAGATGACCTCATCAGGGGCCTCGGTTCGAGGAAGAACAGTCTAGCCATGCAACCGCCTGGTTCAGGGCATGGGGAACCAGGGTGGGCAAGCATGGGAAGACAGAATGCCCAGGGCCACCACAGCAATATGGAGACTCCCGGCTTAGTGATGAGGAAGGAAACGTGAGAGGCGGAGGTCACACAAAGAGCTAGGTTCAAGTTTCACAGCTCTGCTCTGCTGGCCGGCCAGGAGAACTGTCCACTTGGCAGCTGCCCCAGCTGGGCTGGCCAGGAAGCTGGGGTAGTGGGAGGTTCGCTCCTGCCCCAGTTGTAGGCGGAGACTTTGAGCCAGCAGCAAGGGAGTGGGTGGCCTGTTCAGCTAGACCCAGATGCAGCTTGGGTAAGAAGGGAGGGGCAGTGTCCTGGCAGCCCCTTCATGGGCAGGGTTGGGACAGGCTGCTGGCTAGCTGGGACCTCCCTCTGCCTCTGGTTGAAAGGATCACGGACTAGATGGGAAGACCGTGGGTAACTGGGGTTGCAGGAGAGGGCTCCCATATGGGAGGGTTCTGCAGAGTGCCTTCCCCGCTTAGGCCCCCTTCTTACCCTGTTGCAGCCTTCAAAGAAGGCCCTGGATCTGAGACCTCAGGCCTGTGACTGAGCTCTTATTCCACGTGTCCCCTGCCCTGATCCTTGGGAAGCTGAGGGCGGGAGCTGCAGGGGCCAGAGGGCAGGTTCATGAAACAGCTGGTCTGAAGCAGGAGGAGCAGTCTGGGGGCCTGGCCGCCCCATCCCCCAACCCTGCTGTGACTGGCTGGGCTGGGAGGGAAGGGGCACGTGGCAGATCCCCAGGCCAGCTGTGTCGGCACTGGGTAGAGTCTGGAGAGGAAGGAGGTGCTGGCAGGTGTGTGGTGCCTGGTTCACTGTCTTAAGGAGCAGGCACTACCTGGTCCTGCAGAGCCCCGACTGGGCCCATATTCTGCTGACTTGCCCTTGCTAGAACCCTCTCCGAAGCTTCTGAAGAACTAAGGACATTCAAGACTAAGGTACGAATAGACTACCGCCAAGGGAAATGCCTTGTCTCATCCCCGGAAGCTACAGAGACTGGCAGCTGTCACTGTAGGGATGGGGATGACCTGAGAGACTGTAAGCCAAGGACAGCTCCTGCCCGCAAGTCCACCCACTCTCCACTCCCAAGGTCTCTCAGCATAGACTCCTGGGCCCTACCCTTGGAGTGCCGTGCTGAGTGGGCGGCTTGGCTCTGACCTGCTCTGTCTCCTGCTGTGTCTAGTGAGGGCTCAGGAGTGCAGACAGGTGGAATATGGGACCACAGTGGGTCCAAGTTCCCAGACTGGAGTGGTGGTGGCGGGGAATCGGGGGAACATTTGGCTTTTGGATCACAGTGCCCTTTGCTCAGTGCGGCTGATCAGAGGCCTGTGACCTTGGCTACCCTAGGAAGCCTGTCACCGCCTCAATCTTTCTCTGAACTAGAGGTAAGAGTCACCAGCCTCAGATTGTTCTGTAGCAGTGAGCTGTCACCTACACCTGATGGTGGAAGTTAACTCCCTTCATGGTAACAGGCACAATTCTAAGGACCCAGCACTCTGGGTCATAGCCAAAGCCTTTGTTTTTCTTGCTGATCCCAGGAAAGAGCACAGGAAACCCCTTGGAGACATCCTACCTACCCTGTGCTGGGCGGGATCCACTCCTTGGGAGATATCCTGGGTACCACTATTCCTGGTACACTTTTATCACTACATGTTGGTGGATAGGGAGATGGGGTGGTCCTGGAGGAGGGTCTTTTGATGAGCCCTTAAGGGTAACTGGAAGAACTGTGGATGGGACAGAGAGAAGTGAGGTCTCTTAAGTCAGTGTCTGAGCCCCATCTGAAATCCAGATTCCTGGAGGGGAGTGTGTGTCTAGACACCACAGCCTCCATTGGCTTCTGCTGGGAGCCATTGAAGGAGCAATAGCTTATGTAGGGTTGAGTGGGAACTGTCCTGGGGGATTGTACTAGGGCCCTGTCTACTGCTAGCTCCTGTTTGGAGCTATTGCCCCTTGCCTCCTCCACATGGCCACCCACCTCGGCCTGGCTTTCCCTGCGTGCAGGTGACCTCACACATTCCTATCAAGGCAGTCATGGCTCCACTGGGCCCGCAGTCTTTCTTCCCGAGTCTCATCTGGCAGCCCTAGGGCCCTTCTCTAGCTCAGACCGGGACAGGGCCCTCAACACTTGTGGGAAACTCAGACTCGCCAGGCCCTGGGTGTTCTCACCTCTGTATCATGCTGTCCGGATGCCCAGTGCTCCTGTGAGGACATCAGTGCCCCTCTGAGGCCCCTTTCTTATGCCTAACCCATACAATGTAAAGGAATATTCCATATCAGTCCTCACGTGCCTGTCCTCTCTGGATACTGCTCTTCCTTAGGCCTCATTTGGGCTATCTGCCACTTGTCTGACACCCACACCCTACCCAGAGCTGTCTCCTCTGAGCCCAGCTAGAGCCTGCTGGGTATCCGGCCTTGAGACATCAATACTGAATGGGTGAGTGAGTGAATGGATGAGTGTGTGAACGAGTGGGTGAGTGAATGAGTGAGTGAGTGAGTATGTGAATGAATGGGTGAGTGAATGAGTGTGTGAATGAATGAGTGAATGAGTGAGTGTGTGAATGAATGAGTGAGTGGGCAAGTGGATGAGTGAGTGAATGGATGAGTGAATGAGTGAGTGTGTGAATGAATGAGTGAGTGAGTGGGTGAGTGGATGAGTTAGTGAATGGGTGAG